CCCAACTTAACTTTGCTAGTCGTCTAGAGATAAAAATGGACACAAGATGGACATATAAATCAAAGAATGCCTCTTAATCCCTTAGTACTTTTACTGTAATCAGCAGTTTATTAACCATATTATTTTCCCTTGCCCATTTCTGTGACATTGACGCCATCTGATTAGTAGAAAAATGAGTGTATGATAGTGCCCAATAATGTATTTACGTACGTAATTATTATAACATATAACTGTTACATATAGATATTCAAGATAATTTTATAGATGTTTGTGAAGGATCTAAGAGCAACGATGATTTTAGAAATGGCGATGGTGGTGGTGTTAAGAGATGATGTGGGATGGTGTTTATGTATATAATTATTAAAAAGACATGCTTCTGTTAGGTTGGGTTTTTTATTTTGGTTTGTTTAAAAATAATGTTAGCGTTAGTCATGTATTCTTCTGCTCTGATGAGTCACGAGGGATGTGGGCGCCCGCTATCCCGTTCCCTACTGAAACCATCTTTAATGTCACTGTGAAGTTCCGAAATGGTGGGCTCTAAAATGATGCCAGACAACACCCAACAATACCACTATGTACACAGTGGGAATGAGCGAGGCGAATGAAGGCGAATCAAATTTAAGGGCAGACCTTAGTTGACGACCCCACACTTTTTATTTGCAGTATGGTGGAGTGAATCGAAAGGGACGAAAGGCGAACCCACTGTAGCGCGCGCAACGCATTTGTTGTTGATTAAAAACAATATTCGCTAAGAGGCCATACATATTTTAGATGAGCGAAGTTCTCAAACCTATTCTTTTCAGCAGGCTGTGGTAGTGATGGCGTCTAACATACTTGTATGAAAATTACTTAAGCATGTCCACATTGTATTGTTTCTGGATATGCTGTTACTGTATTCCGTATTCGTTCTTTTGTTGTTGATTCTGCTATTTTGCTGCTGCAGCTGCAACTGCTGCTGCTGTTGCTACTGTCGCTGCTGCTACTGCCATTGGTGGTGGTCAGTGTTTCGAGATGAGCACACTGCAACTTTTTCAATATGACGACACTTGTATTGTTTGCTTTGAAATTAACGTGATTGTCAATATGAATGAGATGCAAGGATTGTCAGTAAATAGCGTATGCAATCTTTTTATTTTTTTAGTTCGTGGGCTGATGGGAAACATCCTGAGCCTTGTGATTTTTCA